TCCAATTGGCAGGTTTAGATTACATATCAAGCCACAAACGGTTATTTGTAAGCCACAATTGGTGGTTCACATCATATGCTAAGGAAAAACTCCAGCTATAATATTGCTTAGTGTGTGGTGGGAACCAGATAAAAGAATAGTTTTAATAATGCTATGAAAAATGCAACATAATCCAAACCACATTTATTTTTTTAAAAAATATCAGGAAGATGTTAAAAAGAGCTCTGCTGGATTATAGCAATTGTATGTTACCCAACAACTGATGCTGCTAAGAAAGCCTGGCCAGAACACAATACTTTCTCACTCCTGTTATTCAGAAATGTCAGAAACAACATAATATAGAATACAAAATAACAGTTGGAAGGGACCTTGGAGTTCCAAGCCCCTCCTCAAGCAGGAGACAAATGGTTGTCTAGTCTCTTCTTAAAAACCTCCAGTGAGGAAGCACAAACAATTTCTGGATTTAAGCCATTCCGCTGGTTAATTGTTCTCACAGTCAGAAAAATTCTCCTTAGTTCAAGGTTGGTTCTCTCCTTGATAAGTTTTCCTCTATTACTTCTTCTCCTGCCCTCAGCATACTTCCTGTAATGCTGGTTGTTACGGTGTTTCCCCGAAAATAAGACCCTGTCTTATATTTTTTTGAACCCTGAAATAAACGCTTGGCCATATTGCCATGTGCTCAAAAGCCTGATTGGACTTATTATCAGGGGATGTCTTATTTGGGGGGAAACAGGATACATATAACCTTCACAGGGGTGGGTTCTAAATTTTTTTACTACCGGTTCTGTGGGCGTGGCTTATTTTGTGGGTGTGGCTTGGAGGTCATGTGACTAGGTGGGTGTAGCTAGCTGGTCAGAGTCATTTCTGGAAGATCCTCGCACTTACCACCAGTCCTCGCACTTACAACCCGACTCATTTGTTTGCTTTTAACACTGATCAGATGTAGGACGGCCCTTTGAAGCCCCGCGGCAAGAGTTTAAACGGTTTTTTTCCCTCTAGTCATCAGCTGGGACTCAGGAGGCAGCAATAGATTGGGGGTGGGACCAAATAAAAGGTAAGAATAACGTGGGGGGGTGGGAGGGCGGGAGGGGAGACCCGGTTCAGTGACATCATATCATCACCGCTACTGGCTCGGCCGAACCGGACCAAACCGGGAGGAACCCACCACTGAACCTTCATAATTAGTGGCCATTGATTACTAGATCCTTCATTAATGTTGTCTGGACCTTTTTAAAAGAACTTTAAATTGGTGATCATATTGTGCTTGTGAGTTTCTGGGTTTTTTTTTTCTCAGGCAGTGTGAAGAATATTCATCTTGCCAGTTGTCAGTTGTCCACCATCCAGCTCACAAGTGTCAAACTTGATCATATACAGTGGTGGGTTTCTACTGGTTCGCTCCGGTTCGGGTGAGCCAGTAGTGGCGGCGGTGGGAGGCTCCGCCCACCTGCCCGGACGTCATCGCAGACATCATGCGCAGAAGTGCCGCGTGTGAGCGAAGCAAGTGCGTGCACGCGTGCGCTCCCGGTTCCAAACCAGTAGTGAAGTTAGTGGAACCCACTAACTACTGATCATGTCACATGATATATCATGACGTATCACAATGTTTTTTGCCTTTGCTGAGCCTGGGTGGGCATGGCCTGCACGTGACACATCTGGCCCAAGGGCCGCCAGTTTGACACCCCTGATTTCCAACTCCATTGTAGAGCTCCAGGCCTGAGTGATGTCACAAGTGATATCAGGATGACTCCCAAATAACACAAATTACATAATTTGGCCTAAGTATGACTTGAGGTTATGCTCTCTTCCCATTCTCTACAGAGTGTTATTTTTACCAACTTCTTATACTTTCTTATATGTGGGATTCTTTGCTCTCCCAGGACCTGACACCACAGAATAGCAAATCTGTACAAAACACTTTATTACCACACGCACCTTTCTCAGAACAGACTGTTGCTCTGGGTTAACTCTGCCTTTCTAGGCTTTGCAAGAGGATATTGTAACGTAAATAGGTCTTTAATACTCAGTCCCTTAATACTTATCTTTTAATATTCAGATCAAACCAACGTCTCAAAGTCTTTAAAGTAGCATACAACATTTTGTCTTTTCCCAAACATTCTTGCACTAATTAGGATGAGGTGCTGCTTCAGTGTGGTTGCTCCTTTTCTAGTTGCTGCCAAGCTCCAGGCAAAGGTCCAAGCTGGACTCCTACCAGGATATGCTGCTCACTGTAGCTCAGGGGTGTCCAACCTAGGCAACTTTAAGACTTATGGACTTCAAGTCCCAGAATTCCCCAGCTGGTCATGTGGGCTGGGGAATTCTGGGAGTTGAAGTCCACAAGTCTTAAAGTTGCCTAGGTTGGACACCCCTGCTTTAGCTTGTGATCCTTGTAGTTGAACGAAAGTCCTCTTGCCTGCTTGTACTAGTGGAGGTGATGTCAGTCTGCAGACATCACCTCCACTTCCTCATCTGTAGGTGCTTTTCTTTCATCTTTCCTGCTACACACACCTCTTTCCCCACTCTGCTTTAACATTTGCTTTTGTAAGCTCAAAGGACTGGGTGGGTGAGGATGCCTCTGGCTGTTAATTCCATCCTTGAAAACACCAGGGTGCGGCTCAGTTAGCACAGGGAGTTGTGTAACATTGGCTTGCATGCCTGTGAGTATCATACTCACAGGCATGAAAGCAGGGGTGAAATTTACTTACCTTCGCTACCGGTTTGCAAATGTGAGCTCACGCACAACACCTCTGCGCATGCGCAGAGGGTCAAAAACGGGACGTGATGACATCCAGGTGGGTGGGCAGAGCCTCCCGCTGCCGGCTCTACCGATTCGCCCGAACTGGATAGAACTGGCTGAATTTCACCACTGCATGAAAGCATGATAGAAGCATGTTAGAAGTGCCAGGGAAGCATTTCTGCCTGGCCGTAGCTGCTTTTCCAAAGCACAGGTAGTAGTCCCAATTTCACTACCTTACATTATGTGGCCTTGTGTTCAGTAGAGCTTGTAACCTAGCAAATGGTATAATTTAATAATCTTAAAATAGGTCAAAATCTAAGGCCTAAAATCATCCCAGTGACCCATTTCTTCCACATTTGAAAACATTTTTCAACTCCACCTTTATTCGCTTTAATAACTAATTTGCTAGCAATTTCCCATTTTCTCCTTCCTTCACATACTCTTTGGGCGATTATTGCCAATCTAATGATTCACATATTCAAAATTGCCACTTCTTCTAATTCCAAAAATTGCCTTAGATTGTTCTTGCTATTTCTATTAATTATTTTCCTGCTCTTCAAACACGTGGGATGGAACAGATGTTTAAGCCTTCCAAAGAAATTGCCTGCTTATATTTCTGGGAGAAAAGAGACCGTTAAGATTAATAGGCCAGAAACAAAAATTCAACTCATAAGCTAAAAGGGGTGCCTTATTGCAGCATTGAATACAAGCTGGATCAGACTCAAAGGTGGTGATTTATACTAGTCTCCTCTCTGAACCATATTATCTGTCTTGGGTTACTACTATATACTAACTTTGTAAAGCCTACATGTATTCCTTATTAACAGAGGAGGTGTGCATTTTTGTTCAAGTCAGCAGTAATCAGGGGTGGTATTCACTTACTTTCCCTACCAGTTTGCAATTGTGAGCGCACGCGCCCCGTCCACACATGCGCCCAGCCTTCTGCGCATGCACTTTGCTGGCGCGCATGCCTTCCATAAAACCAGGAAGTAATGACACCCGAGCAGGTGGGGGAGCCGCGCACCGCCGTCGCTACCAGTTCTACAAACCACCTGCCACAATCACTACCGGATCGCCCGATCTGGTCCAAACTGGGAGGATTTCACCCCTGCCTTCCGTGTCTCAAAAACGTGCCTAAATAGGATGGCATAGAGCCGGGGCGGGTGGGCAGCCCACCCATGATTTCCGCTACCAATTCGGGTGAACTGGTCCGAACCAGCTGAATACCACCTCTGGCAGTAATCCAGTTTATAAGGTTAAGATTTGTGCTTACAACCTATTGGTCAGAGCAAAGATATTTTATGGAAAGTCTTGATGCTAATGAATGTTAGTGCTCTGTTATCATCTACAAGGAAAATCAGATTTCTCAAATTATAGATGAATGGACTTCAGCTCAGAAGATTCCTGAGGCAATATGACCATTGCAGAGAATTATGAGGCTTGAAGTCTTGCATTTGTAAGGCATCCCTGCTGAAGAAGGATGCATAACAACCCAACCTGTGTTCATTTTTTTTTTTTTTTTTTGCTTTAATTTATATGCTGCCCTTCTCCTGAGACTCAGGGCAGCTTACAATGCGTTAAGCAATAGCCTTCATACTTTTGTATATTTATACAAAATCAGCTTATTGCCCCCACAGTCTGGGTCCTCATTTTACCTACCTTTGAAAGGATGGAAGGCTGAGTCAACTTTGAGCCTGGTGAGATTTGAATTTGCAGTAATTGCAAGCAGCAGATGTTAATAAGAGTGCTTTAGTCCACTGTGCTACCAAGCCTCATTTAGGTGGCATGTAGAATGGCTACCACTAGATTCAGTTATATCTATATATCCAGTGTGTGTGTGTGTGTGCATGCGTGTATTTGTGTGAGTGTGTAGTTATATAGTTATATAGATACATACAATATATATTTATCTTCTGCATATGGAATTCTGCTTTTTTCTATATCAACTCAATTCCTAAAGCTAAACCATACCTTAATTATTGAAGTTATGAATCGAGCCACTGTTGCCTAGCCACATTTTAAAGAATACTGCTTTAGCATCATAAATGAACTCCTATAATTTGATTTTAATAAGGGAAGGCTAAGTTAAGAGCTCTTAGCTTTTGTTAGATCATGCCTTGTATATTTCTGTTATAGACTTTCATCATGTACCAATATTTTGGATGTGTTTTTCACCTTAGTTTCCTATGAAACACACTGTACAAGTTCAGATCGGTTTTGTTGAGAAAGTATCAAATTCTTATTTCTTTTTCTCGTCTCCTGACAGCATGGGATGGGTATTCCCTCCATTTCTATCATGCTTCATGAACTAATCAAATTGCTGCACCATGCAAAATGCTGTGATGTTACCATTATCCGCATCGGTACCTCAGGAGGATTAGGTGAGTAAAGAGTTTTGCTGCTGCCAGGCATAGGGGATGCAGATGAAAAACAGCTCAGAAAAGGTCAGATCTTGATGAGAATTTTGTAACATGTTTTAATATATATTTCAAGTCAACAAATTTCAGGCAGTGAAGGTATACACAGAGAGATCATAAATGTGTATTTGGCTGAGATAACATCACCCTGAAAATATGGGGCTTGATGTCCTTTCTAAATTAAGGTCATTCAAAATAAATTTTCCTTGGAATCTATATAAGAACAGCACTAACTGAAACAAAGGAATATAATACCGTACCATAAACGAGTATTTTGCAATCGCATTTATAAAATATTAAATTCCTTTAAAATATGGACTTCTCTTCATACTTGTTCAACCGCAAGCAGCCTATTAATTTTAATCAAAAGAAAAGCTTTATGTGCTTTCAGAGTGAGCGAAAAGAGCTTCTAGGTCTCAAAAGATTATCTTAAATACCTAAATGAACTTTCTCTGTTTTAAAGAATCTGATCACCTGCTCACCAGACTAAACTGAGACAGTTAATTTCCTTTCTTACGTTCGTTCTCATGACAGACTAAACAGGTGCTGGAGGACAATACTTGAATCTAAAGCTTGTTAGCCCACTGTGATTGTGGACAAACATATAACATAATGTCATATTTCTAACATTTGAAATAACATATACATATAGAATATATATATTCTTAGCTGAGGGAGCCAGCATTTTCTGAAGATGCTTCCATGGTCATGACTGCCTTCATGAGTCTATGCCAAGGTACACAAAGCACTGTTATTTTACCGCTGAAGTGGTGGTACCTATTTGCACGCTTTCAAAATGCTAGATAGGCAGGAGCTGGGGCAAGAACAGGAGCTCACCTGGTCACCCAGTGTTTGGGTCTCAAATGCCAACCTTCTGGTTGACCAGCCCAGCACTTTAACCGCTAGGCCACTGTGCCCCTTCATACATACTGTACATGCATAAAGGTAAAGGTTCCATTCGCACATATGTGCTAGTCATTCCTGACTCTAGGGGGCGGTGCTCATTTCCATTTCAAAGCCGAAGAGCCAGCGCTGTCCAAAGACGTCTCTGTGGTCATGTGGCCAGCATGACTAAACGCCAAAAGTGCATGGAATGCTGTTACCTTCCCCCCAAAGGTGGTCCCTATTTTTCTACTTGCATTTTTTACGTGCTTTCGAACTGCTAGGTTGGCAAAAGCTGGGACAAGTAACAAGAGCTCACCCCGTTACGCGGCACTAGGGATTCAAACCGCTGAACTGCCGACCTTTCGATCAACAAGCTCAGCATCTTACCCACTGAACTACCGCATCCCATTTACTGTACATACATACATACAGGCTTATAAAACATATCTATAGGTTGGGTATGAACTGAATCCTAAGTTTAACAGTCTCTTTGCAGAGTGAAATGGGTAGCATATAGCAAAAACAATGGCACTTATATACTACTTCACAGTGCTTTACAGCGCTCTCTAAGCCAGTGGTCCCCAACCTTGATGGCTTGGTGGCCTGGCTGAGTGGGGGGAGAGGGGAACCGGGCCACGTGAGTGGCAGGCCAGCGCACCTGTGCATGCAGCTCCACTTGTGTGTACACCAGCCTGCTGCTTGTGCAAGTAGAGCTGCGTGCGCATGTGAGCCAGCCCACCACTCACGCCACCCTGTTCCAAATAGGCCATAGCCCAGTAGTGGGCTGTGGCTTGGGGGTTAGTGACCCCTGCTCTAAGTGGTTTACAGAGTCACCATATTACCCCCAACAATCTGAGTCCTCATTTTACCGACCTCGGAAGGATGGAAGGCTGAATTAACCTTGACCCGGTGAGACTCGAACAAATGCTGGCAGTCGGCAGAAGTAGCCTGCAATACCACTGTGCTACCACGGCTCATATAGATGTAATAAATAACTAAATAAAATGGAATGTAATCAAAATTTAAAACAGACTTTAGTTGATAGAATATGCATTGCCCTCATTCACCCTGAGCCAAGTGGGGAGGGTAGGTTACTGTGTTTTGAGAAGTTCAAAACCTAGATTTCTTTGGAACTAACCTAAGTACCCCAACTAACTCCCTATGTGTTATGTCTGTTATTTGCCTTTCAATTAAGTGTCCACTCAGCTTCTCTGATTAAGACTTCCGTTTCTCCATTTGTTTCAGTATGTCTATGTCACCATCAGGTTTGACCAGGACAAAAATAAAAAATATTTATTTTTATGGATTTGCTCCAACAAAATAGCCAGATATTGAGAAGAAAATCATCACTCACTAAACTACCTTCATGTCAGCTAAGAATAGTGAAAAATGGCTGCTGGCTGAGTAATTGAGCCATCAAAATCTTATGTAGTTAGCCCAATTTTCTTGAGATAAGTGACCGATGGAGAGGAACTTTGGATCAGCAGGTCAGGCAGACAGAGCCAATGAATTATTACCTTGTGTCAGTTCCACCTTTCTCTAAATGTAAATATCCAGAGCTTTTGCTATATTCAGATTTCTAGGAAGCTAAAGCTATTGTAAAGAGTTGAGTCAAACTCAGTGGCTGGTGACTCCACGGACTCCATATCTTCCTTTCTTTGGCTATAATACAGAAGTTGCTCGTCATTGCCTTTTAGGATGGTTTTTCAATTTCCTAGTACGGCCTATCTCCTACTATCTAACCCTACTTACCTTTGAGGAATAGCTAAGATCAACTAAAGCAGTGGTCCCCAACCTTTTTGGAACCAGGGATTGGTTTTGTGGAAGACAATTTTTCCACACATCGGGGGCAGGAGGAGAAGGAACATGCAACCTAGATCCCTCACATGAACAGTTTCTAGTAGGGTTCATGCTCCTATGAGAATCTAATGCTTGATGATCTGAAGTGGAGCTAAGGCGGTAATGCTAGTGCTGGGGAATGGATGCAAATATAGATGAAGTTTCACTCACTCACTCACCACTCCCCTTTAGCTATGCTGGTCCATGGCCCGGAAGTGGGGACCCCTAAGCTAAGGGATGCCATCTACTCTAAGACGTTCTAATATCTACTGGGACATAGTTACCATTTCATATTTCTTCATCACCGTGTATTTTAAACTTTTAGGGGTTGAGCCTGGTTCTGTGGTAATAACGGATGTGGCAGTGGATTCCTTTTTCAAGCCCCAGTTTGAGCAAGTGATCTTAGACCGCGTGGTGACACGAAGCACGGAGCTTGACCAAGACTTGGCTTCTGAGTTACTCGAATGCAGCAGAGGGATTAAGGACTTCCCAGCACTAATGGGCCATACAATGTGCACGTATGATTTTTATGAGGGTAAGCATGTTTTTAACTGGCTATGTAAATTCTCAGTCATCCAGGTCATGGTTGTCTCAAAGGTGCTTTTCAAAAGGCAGCTGGACTTCCTTGGGTTTTTCCTTGAAAATGTTTCACTTCTCCTCCAAGAAGCTGAAACTGAAGAAGCTTCTTGGATGAGAAGTGAAATGTTTTCAAGGAAAAAACAAGAAAGTCCAGTTGCTCAAGCATCCTCGTGACATGTTTTTAACTGAAAATTTAAAATATGAAAACTTTATAGTATCTAGCCAGTTTGGGGGAAGCATCATATAATGGTGAATGGTCACTTTGATCCCTGTTTCCTTAATGAATTTGAAAGCAATAAATATGCTTATGCTAAAACCTCCCCTCCCATCAGTTCTGCTGTCGGGAGGATTTTATGGGACTCCTTGTTTCCAGAGACGTTGCTCTTGACCTCTCTCACAATCATGTTGTCAGGGTTCCAAGGAACACCCTCAATGAAAAGAAACTCCGAGGCTTGGATTTCCTCAAAGCTATATTTTATTAGAGATATCATATTGGCACATCTGGGGAAACCCGAATCTGAAAGTTTCCAGGTTTTCCCCACCCAAGTGAAAATTTAAGTCCCTGCCCAGCACCCACATGTCCATCACATGGTCCAATCATCTACCATCCAAACTGGAGATACCTCCCAGTCATTCAACTCCAGGTGCCAGGCAAGGCATCCTTGACTCTCTGAGAAATGAATGTTATTTTGACTACATATCACCCATGCTCCATACAATCCCCCCTCCCAATTTCCCACAGCAGTAAATGTGGCAAGCCTGAAGGCCCAAATGTAAAAGATGGCTTCCAGGTCTGACACATGTCCTCATACGGTGTCCTTTTATGAAGCCCTAAGATGTCTTCCGATCACCGCAATCATTTCCAAATATGCGGGCCACATTGATAAATTTTATTTTTATTATTTTTAAGGGGTGCTAATCTCACATTCACAAATTGGGTGGCCAAATACCTTCACCAAATTATATAACTGCACGAAACTTTTAATTAGATACGTTGTTTTATTATCCTATTGGTTTTTCCTCCTTTCCCAGTAACAAATTGTTGTATCAGACTATCATTCTTTTTTACTGTAAAGGCTGATCAAAGACAGTAATAAAGATATTTGATTTTAATTTGATGCTAAAACCTCTTCCCATCTCTATAGTACTCAGAACTAAATTCAATGGAACTTGCTTCCAGATAAATAAAAATATTGATTGCAATCATTTTACCAAGAATAAGCATCATTAAGCATAATCTTAACTTTCCCAATCCATTTAGCTCCATCATTAGTGGTAATTATCCCACTAACTTTATTAGACCCCATTTTTAGTGATCTATCTTCAGTTGCTCTTAAAAATAAGTTTTTGTTAATTTTGAGGCCAGTAAAATGGTAGCATTTTATCTTTTGTTTTATAGGATTTTGTTAATAAATATAGAGCCAGTAAAGAAAAATGCAACTCTGCATCAATACTTTGGTTCTCTTTTAATTATGTGTCTTGTCATTTTAAAGACAAATATAACAATTAAACTTTAGTTTGGTTTCACCTTATGGAGTTTAACTGATAAACAACAAGACAAAACCAAACAGAATTATCATTTCATTTCTTGACTAAAACTCTAAAATGGTCACTAGAAAGTAGAGAATAAAGTTGTTAGAGAGAAGTGGAACTTTTTCCCCCAAAGAATTTCAGAGCTAAATCACTTGAGATATCTGGCACATTTACCCACTTTTCTATCAAGGAAATTACTTCAGCGACAGCAAAGCGGCAGATAAAGATATATTGCAGAATTGGACCTTCTAACATCCCTCAGTACTGACCATTTATAGCAGTGCTATTGAGAATGGTGGTTAAGGGCTGTCCTCTAACAAGTGAAGAGGCCTGACCCCTCCCCCCCCTCAAAAATGGATGGGCAAATAAAAACTAAACTTGATGCACTTAGTGTATTTAATTCAATACAGTTAAAAGGTTTCCCGTGTATTCAATGATTTTCCTTTCCATCACATTGATTATGTGCCATCTCATTGTTGTCAACTGTTAGAGTACCACAGAGATTGACTGATTGATTTAACTGCTATGGGCTTAGAAACCACATAGCTAGATCGATCTATGACAATCTGTCCCTAGCCTGTCCCTCCAATGGCGTATTTAACACCACTATACCTGAGTCCACCCATCTTGTTGCCAGTTGTCCTCGTCTCCTTCCTTCCTTCCTTCCTTCCTTCCCTTTCCCAGCATTAGAACTGTAGACTTTCGGTAGAGAACTCAGTGTTCAAATAACGTGCCTGAAGTAGAATAATTTCAGCCTGTCATTTGTGCCTCAAGTGAGAACTCTGGGGTTGATTTGTTTTGATATGTTTATTTTTTTCCCTTTTTGCTTGGTGGTGTGTGTGATATTCTCAGGAGTCTTCTCCAACACCAAAGTAAAAGAAAAAAGAAAAAAGAAAAAGCCATCAATACTTTTCCTAGCCTGCTTCTTCAAAGTCTAACTTTCACTGCCGTCATATTAAATAGTGTTATTTAGTGGCAACTTTGGAAGACTCTCAGAGACAAATCAAAAGCTTTATGGAGCTCCTACAGTTGTAGGAGTGAAGGCAGGGCACTTTTCCTTCAGATGCCAAAGAACCCCCCCCCTTTCTTTTTTTTTTAAAGTTTTAGGGCTTTTAAATTCTTCAAATGATTTTTTTAAAATTAGTACATCTGCTGTTTATGATAGGAAAATACCTCGTATTTTTGCTATATTTTAACTCACCGCGAAATGGGGAAAGAAAGAAGATGCCTACCAATCCAGCTTCCCATCTCCTTGATGACATTTAAGAAAATCTAAAACGCCCCTGATTTGCATCCTCAACAACATGTGCCTGTTCATTGACTGAAAGATGCAAGCATTTCATATTAAACAGTTAAAATAAAAGAGCCCCCAGTCAATCATTGTATCATCATGTTAACAGCTGGATTACATTCAAGCTACCTCCTGTGACAGGATTATAGCTTCCAAAATTACCTTCCCCTAAGAAAAATGTCAAGAAGTCTGGCATTTACATAAGTATCCATTAGTGCCTCTCGCTACCCCAGGACCTTTTCTCTGGAGACAATTAAGTGCTGTTTGCAAAGTGGATAAAACAGAAGAAACTGAGAGAAGTCATCCTCTGTGGAGTCTGTGGAAACCTTTGGCTGGCCGATCTGAGTTTGGGCCACCTCTTATGAAAGCCAGTTCAGAGGCTTCACGTCCAGAAACAAAATTGCAGTGGAAAAGCTTGTCCAGGTTGGTTCTGCTGCAGGAGTAGGGTTTAAAAAAAGAGACCAGCAACTGATTTAAAGCAGTAATTAAAGAGACTGATTTGCAAAATATGTTCATTCCATAAGGAAGTCTTTATCACACTCAAAGACACAGATTTCTAGAATGTTCAATTTAGGGTTAATCAGACTGATTTACAGAAATGTTGGCAGAGTTTGGAATTGAGTTTTCCTCTTCCATCCAGATGTTCCCTGCTTCCTTCTCTGTGGGGTAAAAGCAATGCAAGTAACATGCAGGGAGAGACTGGCCAATAGTTGGTGTTTGGGGAGCTCAGAAGTTGGACACTCTAGTAAGAAGAAACAAAATTAAATGAGAAATAGAATAGAATAGAATAGAATAGAATAGAATAGAATAGAATAGAATTTTTTATTGGCCAAATGTGATTGGACACACAAGGAATTTGTCTTTGATGCATATGCTCTCAGTGTACATAAAAGAAAAGATAGGTGCATCAAGAATCATAAGGTACAACACTTAGTGATAGTCATAGGGAACAAATAAGCAATCAGGAAACAATATCAATATAAATCGTAAGGATACAAGCAACAAGCTGCCTGCAATTTTTGCAGGTTCGAATCTTACCAGGCTCAAGGTTGACTCAGCCTTCCATCCTTTCTAAGGTAGGTGAAATGAGGACCCAGTTTGTGGGGGCAATAAGCTGACTTTGTATAAATATACAAAAGTATGAAGGCTATTGCTTAACGCATTGTAAGCCGCCCTGAGTCTCCGGAGAAGGGCGGCATATAAATCAAATTTAAAAAACAAACAAACAAAAAAAAAACAAAATTATAGTCATGAAAATTAAATATCACCAACAAAAGCACCCATTAGCCTAGACATGCTAGAAGCGGTTCAGACAGTAATGAAGGTGTTACAGTAACTTGGTTTTTTCCCCTTCTCCCAATTAAATGCCAGCCATTGTAAAGCGTAACATTTTTTTTCAGGGCAGCAAGTAGTAAAAGTATCCGGAGGTTGTATTTTGTGAGCTTTCTACTTTACAAAGAACTTTCAGCAGGGGGTTCAAATATGCCGCTGTGTCTTTTTCTGTAGGACTAATGCTGCTTTCATTATTGGCTTCTGCAGCTTTCCTCCGCATGGAGTGATACAGAACACATTAGCCTTAATTTATTATCTTCACCATTGAAGGCATTTTTTTTTTTACATTCTCTGTTTTTATGCATTCTATTCTGTCATTCACTTCTCACATTTCACGGAAATGTTAAAAACTATGTGGCGGATAAGTTATTAGTATTTCAAAGAGCGGGCTATTAAGGGTTTCTTTTTTTAAATGGGACTTTCTTTTTTATTTAAGTAGGATGTCAGGAGGCTACCTTTGGGCTTCCAGAAGAAAGCATTTTCTGCAAAAGTCAATGGGGCCAATGCTGTGGAAGTCAGGCCTCACGAAAGCATAACACACTGATATTTTCCTCTTTCCCTTTTCCTTTTAAGGCCAAGGACGGTTAGATGGAGCATTGTGCTGCTTCTCTAATGAAAAAAAGCTAGAGTATTTAAAAAGAGCATACAATGCCGGCGTGAGAAACATAGAAATGGAATCCACAGTATTTGCTGCAATGTGCAGGCTTTGTGGCCTGAAAGGTAAGTCAGAGGACTTCTGGGAAGGTTCTCCTCCCTTGGGTAGTCCTGTTCTTGTGTTAGTTTCAATAGAAAGGGACTAGTCTTTTGAGTTTAAGAAACTGTTCTCAGAAAGAAACTGGTCTTCCCAGTCATTGGGACTCAGGTAGTGTCTTTTCTAACTCCTATCTAAGGCCTTTCAACCTAGCCTCCTGACGACCCCAGAACTTCCTACAGATTAAAAAAAAAAAAAAAACTGAGGTATTTCTAGTTATGAGCAGGTAACATGACTTTGTTTTCCCGTATTCAGACCACAGTTGAGAACATCGGTGCATTACTACTTGCAGGAAAATAACCATTATAGATACATTTTCACAGATAGAAGAATAACCTTACGCAATAGTAACTCTTGATGTCCAGAGGCTTCTTCAGCATCACCATCAGGAACCTTGGCAGTTTATGTAAAGAGGCAGTGCGTTTTCAACTACCGTATTTTTCAGACTATAAGACGCACCGGAGTATAAGACGCACCAAGATTTCGAAGAGGAAAACAAGAAAAAAATAGTTTTTGGCCTCCGCGCATCCAGTTTTTGCCCTCCCCGGTCCCCCGGAGCACTCTGCAGGCCTCCCAAACCCTCTGCGCATCCCATTTTTGGCAGAAATGGGACGCGTGGGGTGGTGTTTCAGGAGGCCAAAAATGGCCATATTCCATAAGACACACAGACATTTCCACCCTCTTTGGGGGGGGGGCGGGGAAGTATGTCTTATACTCCAAGTATAAGTACTCCAAAGTACGGTACATAGTTATACTCAGTTCAGGACAAGTTTTCCCTTGGCAAAGTTGCTCAGTTGCTCAGTCACAGATGCTCTTCCAAAAATCTGATGACTTGGACTCTCATGATCCTCCTTACTGGCTCCTCTGCACCCAGTCAGCTCCTTGTCATCTCTCTGGTTTAGCTGGTCCCAATTTACTTGCTCCCACTGGGGTCTCCTTGCCTTGACCCTCTCTCAAGCTGATGCACCACATGGTTTCTTTCATGGGTTGCACCTGCCCACCAATCCAAGCTGTGGTAGGCAGCCCTCTGTGATCTCCTTTTTATTTATTTATTTATTTATTGGTTCAATTTATATGCCGCCCTTTCTCTGGAGACTCAGGGCAGCTTACAATGCGTTAAGCAATAGCCTTCATACTTTTTTGTATATACCTGCTTAGTAGGGCTTTCGGGGGCCCCCTAAGCAGTGTTCTTTTTTATACAAAGTCAGCTTATTGCCCCCACAATCCGGGTCCTCATTTTACCTACCTCGAAAGGATGGAAGGCTGAGTCAATCTTGAGCCTGGTGAGATTTGAACTTGCAGTAATTGCAGGCAACTGGTGCTATTTAACAGCACTTTAGTCTGCTGCGCCACCAAGGCTCCTTATTGTAATCAGGAGCAATATTTATATCCTATGCCATTCTGTCTCTTACGTATCTCCCTTTGCTCTTTTTAAGCTGCCCATTTTTCTTTCCTTTTAAATCTTGTCCCTTCTTTTTCTCACTCTTGAGTGACCTTTCCATCTCATTTTAAGTTTCTGATGTCTTTTTTATCTCCTTGAGGTGCTTTCTTATGTCCTCCTACCCTTTTCATTTTCCAAACATTTCTCTGAGCTTTAATCCTTCTGGGTCAAGGCTGTCCCTTGGTCTTCTCCTTGGCCTTCATCTTTCCTTGTTTGCCTTGGCCCTAGTCTGTTATTTGCCTTCCATAACTCCACTTCAAAAACTCTGAAGTTAAATTCTTCTTCTCATAGTTGGGGGGAGGGTCACCTCCTCGCACCCTTCTTTTGTTTTCTTACAGACTCTTTTTTCTCTAATGAGATCCAATTATTTTATTTTCTCCAATTTACTTTTATATTCTCCTTCTTCTTTCTTGCATCCTGTTAATTATAAACCTGAAACACCCAGATTGCTAGTCACAAGTTTTTTTCCTTGCTTCTCATGCTAAACCCCTAGCAATTAACGCCAATTTCTCTCATTTCCCAATCTTTACTACAACCACCTGGTTACCTTAATTCTTGTTTGCTTAACTATATCAATCCACTGTTCAGGAAGGTAGCTGCAAAGTTCATTTTGTTTTTTAAAAATTATGGTTGTACTACATGTATTACTAATTACCAATCTGATATTTTGATAAGAAAACACTTCAATGTTTAAAATTGCTTTTTGGCATAATAAAACAGGTAAGTGAAAGTAATGATTTCAGTAATTTTTTGTAAATTCTCTGGAAGCTGCCAAAAGCTGCAAGAGGAAAGTAATGCACTTGTGTTTAGTTTTGATTCAATATTTAGAAAAGAAAAAAAAAGTGTTCCAGTTGAAAGGTATTGATTCACAAATCCTTGAATCAGATGTGCTGTCCACTTGCTACTTATAATTTTAAGAACAAACTATGTTTTTACATGTGTAATTTAGCCACACACCACAATACTTTTGCAAATCTCAAGATACAGTGTTAGGTCACATTGTATAAAGCACTTTACGAAGGTTCATAATAAGGCTATTGTATCTAAATGATCACTAGATCAAAAAGAGATCTATAGAAAAAAAATCTAGATTTTTGCAGTCCAGATATTATTAAAACATAAGATATTATACAGTAAATAATATTTTAACAGTATCGCTATATTAAAAAAAACCCATAAGAAATGTTGTAATCTCAGCATAAAGCATTTGATTTTTATTCAGTCCATTTTGTTTTCCTTACCTAACTCATAAGGCTTTAACAAAGTTATTATTACTCCAGGATCATAAATTGGCAGAGGTGCTTACAGCTGAAATCAAAGCTACAAATCCAGTCCTGTCTGAGATCAATAAGCTAAAGTTTATTACTGGTAGATAAAGCAAGTCTGGTGAGGAATCCAAGTTCTCCAAGGAACTTTGTTCACAAAGCCAGATCAGAGAAATTATTCTAGTATTTGAGTACCCTCAGGCAGGGCTTAAATACTGGAAATATCCTGAGTGCAGCTTGCACTCATTAGCTCTGGTTATCAGAGCCCAGTTACTTAAAAAAACAACCTGAGAAGATCATCCTGCCTAAGGCTAATCACTCTGCAGCTTCTCTCTTTTTCTGCCTTTTTCCTCCGCTGTATGGAGATGATGCTGATTAAGGCAGATGCTCTTTCTTGACTTGGGCAGCCGAGTCTCTGCTTAGAATTTAGAATTCTCCAGGACTAGAATTGGGACCAATGAGGCCCGCTCAAGCTCTATGATTCATGTTGTTCTTCATCACCTGGACTGTCGAGGGCAGTGATGGCGAACCTCTTAGGCACCGAATGCCCAAACTGCGCATGCGAGCACATGCCCAAACTGAAAGGTACGCTCGCTTGCGTGAACACATACATGCGTCAATGTGCACACACACAGACATGCATGCAGGCATGCGCAAACATGTGCATGCATGGACATGCGCGCATGCTCAGTAGAGACCCAAAGACCAGCTGGCTGGCGGGAGGCGGGGCATCCCAACACTTTCAGCGCAGCAAGAGGTAAGATCTTGTTCTTTCGTGAGCTTCTATTTCGTCATTTGCAGGGAAACAGAAGCTCACGAAAGAAACGCCATGGAGATCTGACCTGGGGTGACGGTGCGTGTGCCAGCAGAAAGCGCTCTGTGTTCCACCTCTGGCACGTGTGCCATAGGTTCGTCATCATAGGCCTAGGGCTTCATCTTGCTCTCCTTCCTCCTGTGATGAGAACTCACCTATCGAGAGCATAATGCTCTTCAGCCCAACTGGCCAGTATATCCTAAAGGTAGCTGAACTGTGTTGGAGCCTCATATACTGAGGCTTCATCGGAAAAGAAGGAGGTGGGTGGGATAATTGCCTCAGTCTACATCATTAGAGGTGTTCTCCATTCCTTTTGTGAAGACACTCTCAAAAGGTGAACAAGAAAACTAGCATGGGTTTCACTTAGATGATTTATTAAGCCACAAGCAACTGAGTTCAGGCAATATGCTAAGTCATAAATTCATAATTTACACATCTTAATGGCTGAGTTCACAGTATATAGTAAGCCAAGCCAAACAGACCACTTGACCACTTTTTCACTTTACTGTCCTCTGCTACTATTTCTTATCTGAAGCTCATTCTCACTCTCCTACAAGGGCATCAGCTGTTTAATTGCAACATAACCATCAGATTGACAGGGTTAATGTGCTGCAGTATTGCAGACAAATTCAGCTCACTGCCAGGAGTTCGATCCTGATGGGGCTCAAGGTTGACTCAGCCTTCCATCCTTCCGAGGTGGGTAAAATGAGGACCCAGATTTTTGGGGAGCAATATGCTGACTCTGTAAACCGCTTAGAGAGGGCTGCAAAGCACTGTGAAGTGGTATATAAGTCTAAGCGCTATTGCTATTGTATGTATGCATGCTGGATCCTTTCTCCTTTGCTTGATGTCAGCTGTCTGGGCCCCAACTCAAGGTGACACTGGAAAAGTGGGCTTGGGACCAGCTGTTTCTGCAGTATTACTCACAATATCCCTGAGTCTCACTCCCATTTAAGTTTTGTAAAATAGAAAGCCTGTTTGGCATGAAAGGTAATTCAGTCCTAGCAGCCTGCTGTCTAAAATTGTATTGCTGACACCTCAAATGCTAAGCAGCATTTTATGCCATTTCTAGTGCTTGGTTTTATGGAGAACTGCAATAATTTGAGAGCTGAAAATGCAGGTGCAAAAGCTATGCTTTTCCAGACAAAAACGCTGGTCCTGGATACAGGGATGTTTTAAATTGGTTTTTGGAGACTGTGTGGGATGGACAATAGAGGATGGGGAAAATAGCAATCCTAGCAGAATCAAAGCTTTTCAAACCAGCCTGAGAAAAGTTTCCACTGTGTGTGTGTGCATGTGCGTGCTTGCACATGTTTATGCATTTTGTTTCATCTTTTTAGAAACTGCAAAGGGTTCACCATTTGTGGTGGCATCCAGGGCAGTGCACAACTGTTTTCATTTAAAATGCTGCTGAAAACAGAGAGTAACATCCTTTCATTTTGAGTTGAGTAGATGAAAGCGATCGTGTAAAACCTAAACTAAAACTAAACACCTCACAGTTAAAAAGCAAAGCACTCCTTCCAGGCCCACTTTCATTCCCATATGGGATGGTGCAGTTCTACCCACTTTAAAACTCTCTCCTCCCCAAAATATTGAGTGCAGTTGCTGACCCCTCCCCCCAAAAGTTGCCCACCCTTGCTCTAATGTGGCAAATAACTTAGGACGCTCAACAATAGTGTTTATTATACGTGATGTTTTTGTTTTCATAAAATCTATAAATTCCTCACAGTATTGTATTTTTTTATATGTAGGCAGTTCCGACCAAGAACATGACTTACGGGGAAACGTTTAAGTGCTATTTTTCTCCATGGTTTGTTTTAGTCTCTTAAAACATTCCAATCACAGATAGATGCAGTAAAGCTTGTCACGGGAGCCTCCAAATTCAGGGAGGGGTTTTAAAACTTTCCAAACGCTCTTATTATCCTTGTTGAGTTTTGAAGCATTCGTCGGGGGGCTCCAGTTATGCACCTGCTTTAAACTGAGTAAAAACAACATGTGCGTGTTTTTAAGAGCCATACAGGTGTTTTAAAAGGTAGTGGTGTAATGGTTTTGTTTTCCTTTCAAAGTAGAGTAAATACATATTGGCAGCCCTAGCAACGTTTTGTTATAGTTCTGCAACAGTTATCCTTTAATTTGGAAGTTGTTTAGTAAAATTCTACTATAGCATTTGCGGTCTTGCAGTAAAATTTATATTGACTACAATTATAGCTGTTATAAAAACAAAGTTGACTTTTCCCCCCTCCGTTTTCCTCTGCTTTCAAGCTGCAGTAGTCTGTGTGACTCTCCTTAATCGACTTGAAGGAGATCAGATCAAAGCCTCCCATGAAGTTCTAGCTGAGTATCAGCGACGACCTCAGCAACTGATTGCGACGTTGATCAAAAAACGCCTTGAGCTGATTAATGACAAGGAATTATTAGATAATGCAGTAGTCTAAAGTATTGCAGAATGTGTGAGCCTGGAACAGCATAATATTCATGGATGTGAATTACGAATGTTAGGTACATTTTAACACTGTAGGGTTTTTGTATGAAGCACAAGAACAGGAAAAGAGTGAATTGAAAAACAATTTCACTGATACTTTGAATTTAGGAGGAGGAAAAACTAAATTTAATTCCAAATACATTATATACTGGATTATGTTTTTTGCCTTCAGAAGAATTTTCTGCATTATTAACTATGGTACCTAAAATTAATATTAGTTAAGTACCAGCTGAAGGCAAAGAAAGGAATGAAACCACTAAGTATTTGAAAGGAGTGGTTTAAAGCCCAACATGTTTTATACAAGTGCTCTTCACTGGGGCAGATCAGTCTGGAACATTTCAAATACCTATCTATAGGCTGTTTCAACTTGGCTACCCTAATATTGATTTTGGATCGAAATTATTATAGACTGTTAGCTAATGGCATGAGATCATTTAGTGGTCATCACACAAGTCCTGTTCATTCTACTAAGATGTTAACTGAATGTTAACTTCATGATACCATGTCATTTACTGGACAATATAAATAATGATCATCGAAAATGCCAGACTTAATCCTAGCTAAATCAATATGTCAACCCAAGAATCCCCCTGAGTTGGCAGGGATTTAATTGTCAAGAGCACTATATCTGTAGGAGAGAGCCAAACTACCTCTTATTGTATATCTCAGGTGACAATTTGCCACTTGATTCAAAAATAGGGCTGCCATTCCCGTGTATTATGGCTCAGCATAGCTGCAAAATGAGATTAGAATGTGATTTCCTAACACAGTAGGTAACATTTTATTTTAGACACCTGTCAAGCATTGATCAAACAGCCTTAAAATATTTAAGCAGAAGATGTCAATGTATGGCAAGCTCAAAGCAGCACAGAAAATGTTCCTTAGTACATGACGCTATGATCCAAGTTGAAGAAGGAACATCCTGATGCTGATTTCTGTAACTATCAGGTGATGAGTTTTGTCATGACAAACCAAGAGAAGGAAGCAGCAAATCCTGTACATTAGAGATGCAGAAGTGTGATCAGAAACCGCTACTGACAAATTCTGACTACATTTGTCTGCTACTCAAAACCCAAGAAAGGAGAATCATAATCCTTTCTAAATGAAAGAAAGTATATGGTGCTTAAAGAAAAGCTGTATTAAGTTGGATCTGAGAACTGTCTCATCTTATAATAATTTTACAATACATTTATATAATTCATTGTTTCATGTATCACAATACTTCTATTGAAAATTTCTGTTTAAAAAATCAGCTAATTCATGTGGTAAAATAACCCATAAAAGAGAGTGGGGGAAAGAAAGTATTGTACTAGTGATTGTGTGTTTAATAAATATTTAAAACATGTTTGTGGTAGTATTTTTTCTTTTAATTTTTGAATGGCTCAGGGAGAGAATAACGATCTGAGCTTTGTGAACTGCCATTCCAATCAACTCCCAAAAGGACCAGTCATTTCAGGGTGGACATTTTGCAAAAGTAACGTCTATGTTCACATGATATGTTTAACCAGGTTGAAAATCTTATAGCAGAATTTTGGTCTAGGTTTGTGGCTATTTGAGAGGAGGTATGGCTTAGGGTATCACATAATCCCAATTACTAACTGTGCAAATCTTGAAACTGAAAAGTGATTTCAAGTTAACCCATGATCATCTTAATTTTGACCAATCTGGAAATGCTGAGTATAGGCAGAGACTACCAGAACACAATCATCTACCTCGGTGTTTTTCCATCTTGACAACTTTAAGCTGTATGGAGTTGTAGTCCATACAACTTAAAGTTGCCAAGGTTAAGAAACATTGATCTACTGTCATCTGACAAACAGGATAGTACAAAGATTTTCAGTGCCCAACCAAATGAGTAGCAATGTGTTCCCTCACACCACTCCATTCAACGTAAACGGGAAAGAAAGTGAATAAGTACCTTTCATACATGGCTCTCTTACACACACTGTAATTATATACAACTTTTTTTGACTGCTTGACAAAAAATACGAATAGGGTAAACTTAATAGATCTTTGATTAATGGGCTTTGGGTGCAATGGAGAAAACTTTTCATGTTTTTGAGCATATGTAAAATCTGGTTTGCCATTTTGAACACCCATAAAATTTCATTTACCATTTTATTCATGCATAAGGTACATAAAACATATTAAATATACACACATAAAACCTTATTTGTATTTAACAGACATCCTGATTTAATGAGCATTCCCTTTAGCCTCATTTGTCTGTTAAATCAAAAGTTTATTATGATTGCTGTGAGTAACATTTACTCAGCTGCAGAGGTGTGATTCCTTTTTCCATTTAAGAGTCACTACAAAGACTGATAGCCTGTCAGCATTTTTTTTTTCAACTAGGCATTTTTTACAGCAGCTTGAAACATGGTTGGCTATAATGGCAGGATTGGGGGAATGTAGCAGGATATTTTTGAAAAAAGCAGAAGTGAAATTGAAGAGATGTATCCGTTTTCTCCTCCTGTTTATGAGGGAATAGCTATGCTACTAATGGCTTTTTTTCCTCTAGTGACTGTTTTGAAATGGGAGTTCCCTTAAGATATATTCTAAACTGAAATTCTACGGAGAGAAAGTAATAGTTGCCTTCAGCTGAGCAGGCAGGGAGTGAAATAAGAAGGAGCTCCTGCCAATGGGGAAATAAGATTGCCCACAAAGGCAGAATTTCAAAGCACCGCAACTCGATCTGCTGCGGTTTCAAACACAATGGAGGTGTGCCAGCAATGAAGCACACTCAGCTACCACCTACATAATAGGGTCACAAAGGTCTGGATTGTTTTGGAATGGGCGCAGAATCCTCATGTGGAAATGCTGAGAGAATAATAGTACTTGGCAAAGTTATTTTACTTGTTCTTTCACCATAAACATCACAGCAAGGCCTACCTAACTTGGACTGCAGAAATGCAGATCATTAGATGGTAGCAAAGAGAGTTTCCTAAATTTCTTTGCTGCCATCTAGTGGTTATCCCCTTTTTTGCAGCCTAAAAAGAGTAGTCAGTGTTTCTCAACCTTGGCAACTTTTAAGAAGTGTGGACTCCTGCGCGAGCTGCACTGGCTCCCGGTGGTCTTCCGGGTGCGCTTCAAGGTTTTGGTTACCACCTTTAAAGTGTCATGATAAATGCCTAACTACTACATCTCCCTGACCACCCGGTCCTTCAAGGGTTAACTAACCACGTATCCCATAATCCCTGTAACCACTCCTTACCTCTTGGCCCCTCCTCCTGGGTACAAAAGGTCCAACCACATGTTCCACGATTGATTCCAGATGTATACCTGAAAGAGAAAGGTACAAGGTCAGTGACCTCCAGTACCAACTGATCAACAATAAAACTACTGAAAAGAATTGGGCTATGTCTTTGAGTTATTGGGCTAGATCCAGTTTCTAACAAATTGGTAGCAGAGGTCGGTTGCCCATAACTCCAGACAATGACTGAACCCAACACCTACCCAGAAGAAGCAAACAGAGCACAGACCAGAGCTCTTACCAAGAAGATGGCTGAGAAACTTCCAACCAAAGCCACAGCCATGGAGGAGACAGAAGCTGGAAGCGAACAGGACTCCAGCCTGGACTCACAATCAGATGAAGAGGGGCCATCCAAGGAAATCACCGCCCCGGAAGAAGAAACAGCACAAAAAATGAACAAATTCAAACTCTCCATCCTGAAACTGATGGAGGGAAACAGCGACAAAGAAAACCTGATCGCGGACCTTCAAAGCCTCTTCGAGCAACAAGAAGCAGCGATCGAGGCCCCAAAGACAACCGAGAAAGAAAAGCCAGCAAAAAAGGGTAAGCCACCCCAACCTGATGATCCTGAGCCGGCAGAATCCATTTCCGTGCCCACTTCCCGGCGGCCATCTTGGGACGAGCACCAGTCAATGGGAAGCCAGGATTTGAATCCCTTGGCGCGAAAATGCCCGAACCCCGAAACAGACGAGGGGAGCTCAGAAAGCGACTACGAAGAACCCAGCTCTGAAAGCGACCACGAAGAGATTGCAATAACAAAAAGAAAAACGCCTACCGATCTCGAATTGCAAAAGGCAATCGAGACCATCACCGCTGCCCTAGGCTCCGCTTTCGAGCCCCCTGCAGCACTCAAAAAATCAAAGAGAAATCCTGGAGGGCACAAGAAGGCCAGGACAACCAACAGAGACCAGGCAACCGAGTCACAGCATACAAAAAACTCCGCGCGCACCAACAACCGGCACAAAAGACCGCCCACCTGCAGGAAAAATCAACCGCAGAACTCGAACTCACCACCCGCTACACCGGCAACGCGAGGCCCGAGGCAGAAAAGAAGAACCGGCTACTCACCAACGCCACGACACCCATCAGGCCAGTCCACACGACCAGGGACCAGCGACCACGAGGGAGGATCAGCCGCCGCCGCCATCGCCGCCGAGCCGCTGGGTGCAGGGAATCCTCAACCTACGACCTCCGCTGCTGCCGCGCCGCCGACCCGCGAAAGTCCTCGACTTGCGACCGCGTCGCCCCCTCACCTTCTCCCCTTCTTCGCCGGGGATCCGGCCATCCAGCAGTGGTGTCCAGCCTCAGGGGGGATCTTCGGACCCACCGGGGGCGGGTCCAGCCTCCCACCGACAGGCCTAGGCCTAGGCCTGGGAGCTCCAGCAACAGGAACCTCACCCGATGGACTCCAGCGCGGAATGAGCTTCGCGCATGCCCAGTACCTGCCTGTAATAAGAGAAGCAAGTTACATAGATCCAAGCAAGTACAGAATGGCCACAGACATCCCAAAGCCTTATTGTGAGTTTAATCACAACTTGGACCATGGACAGCTCCCCCCAGTAAGTAACCTTACTAACATTTCTGGGGCAAATTATGCCAATTTGCCAAAACTGCAGTTAGATGGGGGTAATATTATAGAATGGAGCCAACAATTAAGAGTTGCTCTCATGAGAGAGAATGCACTGTTCCTAGCTAACAAACCTCCCCAAAAGCCCTGGTCATTGGAAATTGACTGCATTCATCACAGGGCATTTTGCATCATGTTAACCTCCATTCCATCTGCTATGTATCCATCTATTGAGGACAATCTAACTGTTTATGATATTATGCAAAAACTATGTAACCTGTTTTATAGCCAAAGCAGAGCCACCACCACTAGACTATCTAGGGAGTTCCACTCCACCAAGCATAAGGCAGGGGTCCCCATGAGTGAGCACATCTTAAAGATGAATGCTGCAAGGACAGAACTCATGCAGAGGGGGGAAATCATCACTGAAGAGAGCATGATAAGCATAATCATAAACTCTCTTGATAGCAGCTGGGACATCTTCATGACCCAACTAAATAGCCTCAGCTTGCAATACCTCACACTAGGCTCACTGACCAGTCAGCTCGTTGCAGAGGACACCCTGAGGAGGGAACGCCAACTAGCCAAGGGGGACCCTAGACCCACAAAGAGGGTGGATTTCCAGGATAGGGCCAGGGATACCTCAGAATGTTATTCCTGTGGATCGAGGAACCACTTAAAGAAGGATTGCCCCAGGAACCATAGGGACAGGGGACAGCACGACAGTAGAGGGGGGAAGGTCACCTGAACGCAGGTACCCAAAGGAAAGGGGGCGAGGATGGTCACCCAACCCCAGGAAACACCACGAGCGCAGAGACCACTCCAGGGAGAGTAGCTCTGGCTCCATGTACGGGATCAGGCACGATGACCCAAATGACAAACATAAGATAGAGAGAAACTCATGGCTTCTAGATTCAGGGGCCACAAGTCACACTACCTGTAATCCAGAGCTGCTAGACTCACTCACAAAAATAGACTCAGAAATAAAGGTGGCCAACCAAAGCAAGGTCAGAGTAGTGGGGAAAGGGAACGTACACATCACACAGATAGGGGACTTAAGAGAAGTACTGTACATACCAGAGATTCCCCACAATGTGCTAGCCATCACAAGGCTAACACGAGACACAAATATAGAAATAAAATTTAAAGATGGAAAGGCACACTTGATCAAGCAAGGGAAAGAGATAGGAAAGGTAACCATACACGAGGGACTTCCCTACTTCACATCCAACGCAAGGGAGGAAGAAGGCATTGATACCAGCACAAACCACAGGATAGATAAGTATCCAGAAACAGAGGGGGTGCAGCAGGAGGCAGGAAGTAGCCATGAGAAGGCAAACAAGTCTATATCTATCGGCAAGCCATTACATGATAACTGCGCCCACCTCCTCCACAGGAGACTGGGACACATAAGCTTCCCCATTGTAAAGAGAATGACGGAATGTACCGAGGGTCTCAAAGTAAAGAACTGCGAAAACTACTTGGAGTGTTCAGTTTGTAAGCGCTCTAAGATCAAGGTTAAGGC